TGGAGCCAGCAGCCCTGGTTCCAAATGCTTAATCTCCAGACTCAAGCTAAATGCATACAGCAGAGTTTACCAAAATGGACGCTAAATAAGATATATTAGGTGATTTCTCCAGTATTAACACAGTACATTCTGTACTGACAGAGACAGGACACTCCATGTGGCCTCTGTATACAGTCAAAAGACACAGTCCACACAAGTCTATAAGGTTCTTGCAGGATACCCTATTACAATGGATTTTGCTCTTGTTAGAAGTAGGTGTAGATTTCAGAGGTACAGTGAATATTTCTACTACACTGAATATTTCTGTCATCAAAATGAAACAAAGATAAATAGAGAAATATATAATTGTCTCCATAATTGTTTGGGTAGATAATACATAGATGACAGCTAAATAACATTCTAGGCCTGTATGTGAATATGAAATCCATACAATCCCTCTGGGTCAGCTTATATGACATTTTCGGGACATGTTTTCCACCAGCCCCTCCTGCTCTCTTTCTAACACAAATCCCCTTCACACTCTTTCACCTACCTCCTCCATGAATGTTGTCCTTGCACAGTAATATCTTCGCTATTTCTTTTTCCTGTGAGACCACAGCTGGGTGTGCAGCTGGCAGCCTCTCCAGATTTCACAGCTGTCCTGGTGGAGAAAGCCCAAGATTCTTACTGCCTCTGTGCCAACGGGAGGCACACCACGTCCTGGTTGGTGACTCCCAAGTCTTTAGGTGAGTGAAAAGTTTGTAAGGGGACTCTACCCAGAAAGGGTGGGTGTAGGCAGGTCTCCTAAATTGCATCCTTCTCATTGGGTCCCCAAGGGACTCTCAGTCACTGCTGCTTCTGGCACATGCTTACCCCCTTCATGAAGACAGGACAAGCCCTTGAGCTGCTCAGAGACTGAGAATTCCTTGCAGATCTTGGGGATTTGGCAAACGCTGAGTTCCTGGCACATCTGAGCTCAGCTCTATGGACCATGTGTTTCAGGAAATGTGACTTTCTCTGTGACTGGAGAGGCACTGCAGTCCCCAGAGCCCTGTGGTTCTGAGGTGGCCACAGTCCCTGACACCGGGAGAAAGGACACAGTTGTCAAAGTCCTGATTGTTGAGGTGAGTAATCTCCTCAACTGGCAGTGTGCTGAGTCCAGAAAATGAAGCAATGTTGACGATGTCTAGGTGAAAAATAAAAGATAGTAACATGTGACCAGGAGATGTTTCATGGCACGTGGCAAGCCCATGCTTTTCCATCAGCATATGTTCTGTTTGTTTGTTTGTTTGTTTGTTTGTTTGTTTGTTTTTTCCCTTCCTAGTCTCTGAGCTGAAGCTTGGGGGATGGTCTATACCAGTTTATCTTCTTAGAGCTATACCTCCTTCTTTCAATCCTATTCTGCACCCTCTCTTTTCATTGTTCTTTCCTTATTAATTTATTTTTCACCTGGCGTGTCCAAATTTAACATTTACGCCATTCCTGAAAGGTGGAAAATTAAATCATCTAATTCCAGCCCATGACCTCACAGGTAAAGAAACTGTCACTCAAAAAAAAAAAAAAAAAAAGTCTCCAGCATTTTTGTGCTTTCACACTCAGTATTTTCTAGTGTCTCAACTTTGTGTCTTTCCATCCAAGCCTGAAGGAATTCAGAAGGAGCACACCTTCAGTTCCCTGCTCTGTGCATCAGGTGAGGAGCCCTCAAGATGGCAGTAAGAGAGTAACCTGAGTTGTCTACTTAGGTCTCCGGCAATATTCCTGTAAGAAAACCAAGATCCTATGTTCCTTATAACCACTAAAGGATGAACAAAACTGAGTCTTAGAAATTATCAAGATCATCACCTGCCTGATGTAGCTATCAAGAGTATAGTCATAGTTCCACCTGGGACTTCAGAGTTCATTGTAGCCTTTTTCTTCAGAACACAGAAATCTTTTCATCTAGCCCATCTCAGTACTTAGAAACTTATAGGCAGGGAATAGCTAAGAAGAGGTCACAATAAAAATTTTCTAAAAAAAAAAAAAATGGGGAGGGGGAGTCGGGGTGGAAATTTAAAGAATATCTTTGGAAGGCCAATCCTTGTATTGTTTTAGATCATAAATAAAAATAAAGATTTTTATGGCTGAATTAAATTCCGCATATAAACCTAGTTCATCATGATGTACACTTAGCTTAATACTTTTCTTTAATGGTTGTTTTTACCCTGCTCCTCACTAGAAGCTGACTACCACAAAGGAAATACAGCAGCATATCATACAAGGAAAAATGAAAGGTCACTGTCCCCTGTGAAGGACAAGCATGAGAGCAGAGGCATCCACTCCAAATAATGACTGTGTTGCCAGGACCTCTATTGGTGTGTGGACATAGTGCCTGCTCAAAACATATAGTCAAAAGAACTTTTTAAATGGCACAATAGTTTAAGTTAACATAAAATCCATTATTATATGAAAGTTAACAAAAGATGAAATAAGGAAATTTCTCTGTAAAGGGGATAAATTAATGTAACAGTTACTAACATACTGTGTAGAAGAAAATTATCATACACTACTAAAATTCATTAAACGTTTTCCATGAAAGAGAGGCAAGAAGAAGGTCACTGGAGATTGTTGGAAAATGTAGCAAGGATAGGATAACAAACACCCTGTTCTTCCAACGGGTCAGTTCTGGTTCTCCTGATACTTGTGTTTTCACAAAGTACTCTATACATCATCTGGCCATAAAAAAGCCATCCATGACAGCTGTGTAGCCATGATCAGTGAAACCTCCAAGGCCACTCAGGATACTCAGGAAGAACAAAGGCTGGCTTAGGATTTATTCACCCCTCATTCTGACATACTGGAGTTCATTCACCCAGTGCATCATTTCAGGTTTCCATCACCATGATAACACCAAAAGCAGCTTGGTGAGGAGAGGTTTATTTCAGCTCTCCTGATCACAGTCCATCACAAAGAGAAGACAGAACAGGATTCGCAGGGCATGGACTGAAGCAGATGCCGTGGAGAAAACAGCTTACTGGCTTGCTCTCCCTGACTTGCTCAGTTTGCTTTCTTATACAGCACAGGACTACCAGCTCAGATGAGGCACCACCCACCCTGGGCCAGGCCCTGCCACTTCAATCATTACTAAATGAAAAAGCATAAGACTTCCCTGCAGCCCAAGGTTATGGGGACGTTTTCTCAGTTGAGGATCCCTAATTCCCTGAAAACACACACACACATAAACACACAAGCAGAATTTACCTAAACCAAAATTCGATAAATAAGCACATTTTTATGTGCTTATTAAGTTAACTAAATAGGCATTGATAGAAGCAGAGGCACAGAGATCACAGAGACTCCGACATTCATTTTGGACAGGTGCTTTGCTTCAAAACAATGGGTGATAAAGGGGAGGCCATGAAGCCTGACAAGCCGGCAGTTCCAGAAAATGTGGATTTGTGATATTTACATCCAGATCATTTTTCTAGGAAGGCCAATTATCAAAGCTTAAGGCAAGGTTCTAATGCAACTGGCCGTAGGGGACTCTGGAAATACAGAGAAGAGAGATAATTATCTCCCCTTTTGTTTTGCTTATTAAGATTCTGAGCTATCCAAAAAATTGTCCCTGCTGCTCCCACCAACAGTAGTGAACGATTCAGCC